ATCCATGAACTGTGCCAGCCAGCCAATGCTGCCCACGAAGAAGCAGGCGTTGACGTAGAACAGGATGACGGCGGGGTAGCGGTTGGAGTTCCTCCAGTCGGCAACAAACGTGGCCTGGAGGGGTGGAGAAAGCGACAGCTCGGTGCTGCCCGTCCCCTTTTTGGGGCCAGCTCCCCAAAAGGAGCCCGCTCTCACCAGGGTGAAGAAGGTGCAGAAGATGGTGACGGAGCTGAAGGCGGCGATGTAGACGTGCATCTCGCGGTGCTCCTTCTCGGTGAACAGCGGGTTCTGGCACTGGATGCCGCAGCCCTCCACGTCCTCGTACCAGCTCTTGGGGTTGTCCGTCCTCACCAGCGGCGCCTCGCACTGCCCCGAGCTGTTGAACTTGATGTTCTGCACCTCGTTCTGCCAGAGGGGAAACCAGGCCGTGAGGAGGAGGAGGAGGAGGAGGAGGAGGAGGAGGAGGAGACACCCCCATGGCCAAGGTGGACATCAGTCCCCTCTGGATGGCAGCTGGGTTCCAGAGAACCACCATGGAATCAAGGAATGGGTTGGGTGGGAAGGGAGCTCAGAGCCCCCCCAGTGCCACCCTGCCATGGCAGGGACACCTGCCACTGTGCCAGGCTGCTCCAGCCCCAGTGTCCAGCCTGGCCTTGGGCACTGCAGGGATCAGGGGCAGCCCCAGCTGCTCTGGCAATTCCAGCCCAGCCAGCAATTCCTCATTCCAAGATCCCATCCATGGCAGTGGGAACCATTCCCCGGCTCCTGTCCCTGCAGGCCTTGTCCCCAGTCCCTCTGCAGCTCTCCTGGAGCCCCTGCAATGTGCTGGAAGCTCTCCCTGAAGCCTCTCCTCCCCAGAGCAACACCAACCCTTCTCTCTGCAGAGTGGTTCCCTCCCCAGGCCCGTGTGCCCGTGTGCCCGTGCCGTACCGGGCAGCCCTCGGGGAAGCGGTCAGTGGTGCACTTGAGGAAGTCGGGCCAGCCGCGCTCGCGCTCCACGATGGTGCAGGGTGCCCGGGTGGCCTGGCACAGGGTCTGGCTGGGCAGCTCCACCTGCCCATCCTCGCACTTGGGCATGTAGACGGCGCAGAGAAGGGGCTGGATGACGTCCCAGCAGCGCGGGGCGTTGCGCAGGCCTGCGGGGAGGGGACAGCACTGTCACCACCCCTGGCACGGCCACCTCCTGCTGTCCCCACAGCACCCACACAGCCCTGGGACCCCTCTGTGGGACCCTCCTGCTGTCCCCACAGCACCCACACAGCCCTGGGACCCCTCTGTGGGACCCTCCTGCTGTCCCCACAGCACTCATACAGTGCTGGGACCCCTCTGTGTGGCCACTGTGCCCATCTCTCCTGCTGTCCCCACAGCACCCACACAGCCCTGAGACCCCTCTGTGTGGCCACTGTGCCCATCACTAGGGCTGCCCCTCCATGCTGTACCCCCACACTGCTCTTGTCCACACTGTGCCCACCCCCAGGCCCTGATAAGCCATTTTTTACACTGCACCCATCCCCAGACTCCTGCTGTGCCCATGTCTGAGGCCGTTCTATCCTGTTCCCCCACGCCCTCCCTGTACCCCAGTCTCCTGCTCCCCTCCACATCACACGATCTCCACTCCTCTGCTGCAGTTTTCTGTACTCTGCCCATCCCCAGACACCCACCATACTGCTCCTCTCCATGCTGCTCCTATCTCCAGTCCCTTTTTAATCCATTTTTTATACTGCACCCATCTCCAGTCCCTTTTAAACCAGTTTTCTATACTATACCCACCTCCAGTCCCTTTTCAATCAATTTTCTACACTGTACCCATCCCCAGTCCCTTTTTAACCAGTTTTCTATACTGCAACCATCTCCAGCTCCTTTTAAATCAGTTTTCTACACTGCACCCATCTCCAGTCCCTTCTCAATCAATTTTCTATACTATACCCACCTCCAGTCCCTTTTCAATCAATTTTCTACACTGTACCCATCTCCAGTCCCTTTTAAACCAGTTTTCTATACTGTACCCATCTCCAGTACCCTTTTCATCAGTTTTCTACACTCTACCCATCTCCAGTCCCTCTTTAACCAGTTTTCTACACTGCACCCATCTCCATTCCCTTTTCATCAGTTTTCTATACTGTACCCATCTCCAGTACCCTTTTCATTAGTTTTCTATACTGTACCTATCTCCAGTCCCTTTTTAACCAGTTTTCTGTACTGTACTCATCCCCAGCCCCCCTCTATACAGTTTTCTATACTGTACTCATTCTCAGGCCAGTGCTATACATTTTTCTGTACTGTACCCATCCCCACTCCTCTTCTATAAAGTTTTCTTTACTATACCCATCCCCACTCCTCCTCTATACAGTTTTCTGTACTTTACCCATCCCCAGCCCTGTGCTATGAAGTTTTCTATACTGTACCCACCTCCAGCCCCCCTCTGTAAAGTTTTCCATACTGTACCCATCCCCACTCCTCCTCTAAAGTTTTCTATACTGTACCCACCCCCAGCCCCCCTTTATGAAGTTTTCTATACTGTACCCATCCCCAGCCCTGTGCTATGAAGTTTTCTATACTGTACCCACCCCCAGCCCCCCTTTATGAAGTTTTCTGTACTGTACCCATCCCTAGCCCCCTGCTAGGCACTTTTCTGAAGTGTACCCATCCCTAGCCCCTCTCTACAAAGTTTTCCATACTGTACCCCTCCCCACTCCTCCTCTAAAAATTTTCCTATACTGTACCCATCCCAAACCCCCTCAATCCCCCCGCCGCCGCCCGCGGCCCGGCCCGGCCCGCGCCCCCCGCCGGGGCGGGCTGAGGGAGGGACCGCGGGGGAAGCGCTGCGGAGGGTAAGAGACGCGGTTTGTGAGGGGGAAAGTCGCCGGAAAGTGAGGGAAAAGTCTGTTTTTGGGGAGGAAAGAGTCTCCCCTTCTGCGAGGAAAAAGTTCCTCTCCTGAGGGGAGTCACTTTTGGTCAGGAAAAGTTCGTTTTTGTGAGGAAAAGTTCCCCTTTTCTGAGGGAAGGCTCCTTTTTGTGAGGAAAAGTTCCTTTTTATGAGGAAAAAGTTGCTAAAAAGTGAGGGAAAAGTCTCTAAAAAGTGAGGGGAAATGCTGTTTTTGGGAGGAAAGAGTCTCCTTTTGTGAGGAAAAAGTTCCCCTCGTGAGAAAAGTCACTTTTGGTCAGGAAAAGTTTGTTTTTGTGAGGAAAAGTTCCTTTTTATGAGGAAAAAGTTGCTTTTTGTGAGGGAAAAAGTCACTAAAAAGTGAGGGTAGAGTCTTTTTTGGAAGGAGAAAGTCCCCTCACAAAAGGCCCTTGTGAGGAAAAAGTGGTTTGGGAGGAAAGAGTCTCCTTTTGTGAGGAAAAAGTTCCCCTCGTGAGAAAAGTCACTTTTGGTCAGGAAAAGTTTGTTTTTGTGAGGAAAAGTTCCTTTTTATGAGGAAAAAGTTGCTTTTTGTGAGGGAAAAAGTCACTAAAAAGTGAGGGTAGAGTCTTTTTTGGAAGGAGAAAGTCCCCTCACAAAAGGCCTTTGTGAGGAAAAAGTGGCTTTTTGTGAGAAAAAGTTACATTTTGTGGGGAAAATATTCCTTTTTCTAAGAGGAAAAGTTCCTTTTTGTACAGAAAAACTCCAGTGTGAGGAAAAAAATTCACTTTTTGTTAGGGAAACATTATTTTTTCTAAAGAAAAAGTTCCCTTTTGTGAGGAAAAAGTCACTTTTGGGAGGAAAAAGTTCCCTTTTCTTGAGAAAAAATTCACTCGTGAGGAAAAAGTCACCTATAGTGAGGGAACAGTTCCCATTTTTGAAGAAAAAGTCCCTTTTTGTGAGGAAAAAGTCACTATTTGTGAGGGAAAAGTTCATTTTTATGACGAAGAGGACCAATTTTCAAAGGACAAAGTAATCTTTGTGACAAAACCATCACTTTATACGAGGAAAAAAATCAATTTTGTGAGGGAAAAGTTCCTTCTTGCGAGTAAAAGATCCTTTTTTTTCCCTGTGAAATAAAATGTCCTTCTGATGAAAAAGCCTTTGCGAGTAAAAAGTTACTTTTTGGAGGCAAAAAGTTGCCTTTGGGGGGAAAGAAGCCACCTTTGGGAGAAGAAAAGTCACTTTTTAAAGGGAAAAGTTACTTTTTGGGGAGTAAAAGTTACTTTTCTGGGACAAAATACACTTTTTCTGGGGAAAAAAAAAGTTACTTTTTTTGGGGGGGGAGTACTCTTTGGGGAAAAATCAATTTTAGGGGAGAAAAGACAATTTTGGGGGAAGAAAACTTGATTTTTGTGGAGGAAAGTCCCTTTTTCAGGGGTAAGTCACCTTTTTTTGGAGAGGGAAAATCAGTTTGGGGGGCAAAAGACACTTTTGGGTAAAGAAAAGATGGTTTTTCAGGGAAAGTCCCTTTTGGGGGAAGACAAGATGGGGTTTTTGAGGGGGAAAAGTCATTTTTTTTGAGAGCAGCTACTTCTTAGAGTAAACTTGCTTTTTTGGAGCGAGAAGTAGCTCTTAAGAGGGGGAGTTTTGGGGAAAAAAACTGAATTTCGGAGGGGAAAAAATAACTTTTTCTGCGGGGAGGTGCCACTGCTCGGAGAAGCAATCACTTTTAGGGGAAGAAATCACATTTCGGCGGCGGGATGAGGCGGATTTTGAGGGGAAAAAAGCCAAAAAAAGAGGTTTTTTATGGGAGAGAAGCCTCCCGGCCGCACACAAAGAGCCGGGCGCTGGGCCGCATCCCGGCTCCCTCCGCGGGAGGGACCACCCAGCCCGAGCTGGAGCAAAATTAAAATAAAAAAAAACACTAAAAACCCAACCCCAAAAAACTCCACCCACGGCTTTGCGACAGCTCCGAGGGGCCGGGCCTGGCCCCTCAGCCGCTTTGCCCCGCTCGTTTTGGGGTCTCACAGCAGCGCAGGCGGTGCGGCCTGCGGCGGCCTCGGTGTCCCCAGAGCCACCGCGGCGTCCCCAGAGCCACCGCGGCGTCCCCAGAGCCACCGCGGCGTCCCCGCGCAGCCCGGCACAGCTCGGAGCCTCCGGCCTCGTGTCTTTATTGTCCGGGAACGCCAAGGAACGGGCACATCCCCCCGGCTGGCCCTGGGCCAGCCCCGCTGTGCCCCACCATGGGGGCAATGGCCGCGGTCCCGCAGCCCGGCCTGGGCGAAGGCAGCTCGGTGCACGGACAGACAGACAAACTGAGTCAGTCCTTCTCCAGCGAACACGCGGGGAGGGGAAGCACATCCCTTTGTGCACCAGCAGGACGGACAGACAGACAGACAGCGATCCTCCGGCGCTGCTTCAGCTCAGCACCTCCAGGCCGAGCCCAGCGCCGGCTGCCGAGGGCACGGAGGCTCCTCCGCGGATCCGCATTCCCGCTGCTCCAGCGAGGCCCCTCGGGCTGTCCCCGCGGCCCCGGGGATGGGGAACGGCCCCGGGGATCGGGAACGGCCCCGGGGATCGGGAACGGCCCCGGAGCGCCGCCGTGCCGCCGGGAGGCCGCGGGCTCGGGGCTCAGGACCAGGGGTCTGCCCGGTGCTGCTGGTTGTAGAGCTGCAGCTTGACCTGGTCGCGGATCTGGTTGATGAGGAGGCGCGCCAGGACGATGCCCACCAGCTGCAGGGGAGAGGGACGGGGAGGGAATCCAGGGAGGAGGGGAGTGGGAAAAGGAGAGGGATGGGAGAGGAAAGGGGGATAGGTAAGGAGAGGGAGGGGAGAGGAGGAAGGGGGAGATGGAGGAGAGGGAAAGTGAGATAAAGGGAAGGCAAAGGGGATGGAGAAGGGAGGAGGAAGAATTAAGGGAGAGGAAGATGGAGGAGAAGGGAACAGATAGAGGAAGGGGAACAGGGAAGGAAATGAGAGAGGAAGAAGGAACAAAAGAGGGGGCAGGGAGAGGGAGGGAAGGAGAAGAGGAAGAGGAAGGAGAGAAAAGCAAGAGAAAGGGTGAGGGATGGGAGAGGAAAGGGGGATAGGTAAGGAGAGGGAGGGGAGAGGAGGAAGGGGGAGATGGAGGAGAGGGAAAGTGAGATAAAGGGAAGGCAAAGGGGATGGAGAAGGGAGGAGGAAGAATTAAGGGAGAGGAAGATGGAGGAGAAGGGAACAGATAGAGGAAGGGGAACAGGGAAGGAAATGAGAGAGGAAGAAGGAACAAAAGAGGGGGCAGGGAGAGGGAGGGAAGGAGGAGAGGAAGGAGAGAAAAACAAGAGAAACGGAGAGAAAGAGCAAGAGGGATGGGGGAGAGGGAGGAGAAGGAAGGGCAGAGGGAGGTACTGAGCGACACCAGGCAGTGTCACCCCACAGTGCCCCCCGTGCCTGACATTTCCATCACTCCCCCACCCCAAATCCCATCCCGACTCCCCATCTCACAATCAGCCACCATTAATTAAGGCAGCGCCCCCAAACCCCAGAGAGCAGAGCTCTGGGGCAGCCCCGCAGTACCTGGGGCAGGGCCAGCCCCAGGGCGATGCCCCCCAGCAGGAACAGGTTGCTGTGACTCCAGTTGACCAGCTTGTCGATGCAGCCGTTGGTGTGGATGAAGGCACTGGCCTCCAGGTAGCCCCTGGCCTGCATCCCGTGGCCACACATGGTGTTGATGACAGCCTGGGAGAGGGGACAGGGCACACTGGGCTCCCTGCTCTTGGGGGGCAGCTGGAGCGACCAGGCCCCCGCCTTGGTGGGGTGTCCCTTCCTCAGTGTCCCTTCCTCAGTGTCCCCACACCAGCCCTCCAGAGCCACCTGGCCCCAAAGAGCCAATTCCAGCTCTGGAGAGGGAGAATCCTCCCCCACCTCACCACAGCATTTCCACTCAGGAGTCCCCAAAACCAGCGGTTGGGATGGGGGAACCCAAACCCAGAGTGTGGGATGGGGACACAAACCCAGAGGGTGGGATGGGGATGAACCCAAACCCAGAGTGTGGAACTGGGGAACCCAAACCCAGAGGGTGGGATGGGGACACAAACCAGAGGGTGGGATGGGGACACAAACCAGAGGGTGGGATGGGGACCCAAACCAGAGGGTGGGATGGGGTCCATTGGCGTTCCCTCCCCTCGGGCAGGGCTGCAGGCCCAGCACAGCCCCGGGGAAGGAGGGCAGGCACGGGGCAGGGTCCCCTGAGGCCCCCCAGCACAGACCTGGTCGGCGTCGTGCAGGCAGCAGGAGAAGGGCACGGAGCAGCGCTCGCGGCTGGGGTTGGTGGCCGTGCAGTTGAAGTACATGTTCTGGGACCAGTCCTTGTAGGAGACACCCCCGCAGCAGCTGAACTGCGGGCAGGGCAGGGGGCTCAGCGGGGAGGGCACCCCCACAGCAGGGCACAGGACACTCAGGGCTCTTCGTGCCCCCAGCCCTCCCCAGCCCGGCAGGACATCACCGTGAACATCTTGGAAGAGCCACCCAATGTCCCCAACCTGTGCTACCCCACAGATGTAACCTGACACAGAAGTGGGGACACGTCCTCATCCACTGTGGGGACACCCCGAGCCTGCAGACCCCCCGGTCACCTCCTTCTGCCCGAAGTCGATGAGGTTCTGCAGGTCCGGGTCATCCCGGTAGTGCACGATGGCCCCGTTGATGATCTCGCTGACCTTCCCGCGGGCCTGGGGACAAACGGGGACAGCAGCGAGCCTGTCACCCAGCAGGACAGGACTGGGGGCGCCCAGCACCCCCACTGCCCTCCCCTGTCAGCACCTTATCAGAGAACACAAAGCCCAGCACGCCGGCCGCCAGCTGCAGGAGGAAGATGATGGTCAGGCAGACGGAGAACTGCGGGAAGAGCAACGTGACAGCGAGGGGAAGAGCAATGTGACAGCGAGGGGAGCACCGAGATGCCACCAGGGTCCCCAGCAGGGTGCCCAGCCCTGGCAGGGCTCACCATCTGCAGCAGGCAGATGTTCTCCCGCAGGGAGCCGACGCAGCCGCAGAAGGTGATGAGGAAGGTGAGGACGCCCACCACCACCAGGAGGATGGCAGGGTCCACTGCCAGGCACGCCATGGCCGCCTCTGTCACCACGGGCGAGCTGTCACCACGCTGCCAGCACCCCCAGCAGCCCAGATGCCACCCGCAGAGCGCTGGTGGCTCGGGGCCAGCGGGGCCGGGCAGCCCCCGAGCTCACCTGCGTGCTTCAGCAGCCGGGCGTACACCCCCACGGCCACCATCACCATGGAGATCATCTGCAGAGGGACACAGGTGACCCCGCGGGTGTCACCACGCCCGTGCCACCCCCACGGCCCCGCCTGCAGCCCCCCCGAAGCCAGGGATGCACCAGAGCTGCAGCCGCTGCCTCAGTTTCCCCTCGTCACACCGTGTCCCCTCCTACTGGGAGGTCACCTCTGTCCCCACCCCCCTGGAGGTCACCTCTGTCCCCACCTCCCGGGGAGTGCTGTTCCTCTACGGGTGGCTGGACACAGGGATGTGGTTTATGGGAAGTGAGAAACTTCCTCAAAAATAGGATTGCAAACACGGAAATAACCCACAAAAAAACCCCACAAAAGCATTTAAAAAACCCCTAAAATATTAAAAAAAAACCCCCAAACCTCCCCAGCAGTACAAAAATCTGCAAAATGTTTTGAAAAAGTCCCTGAAACATAAAAAAATACTCAAAATATAAAACTTCCCCAAAACATAAAAATCCCTCAAAACATTAGAAAAAAACCATCAAAAAGGGCCCCAAAGATGGAAAACTGTGGCCTCCCTACAGGAGATGTCCCTGGGGTGGGCTGGGGACAAGAGGGGCTCTGCCCCCCTCTCTGGGGGGCTGTCACCCCTGTGAGGCCAGCAAGGGTCCTGGGGAAGTGGTGGGGACCCAAAGGACCCCAAAACCCTGGGGGAATGGGGAACCCCTTCTGTAGGCTCTGGAATGGGGGATCCCGGTGGGATGGGGGACTCCAGGGGCCAGGAGTCCCTCAGGAATGGGGTCACGGTGGGACACTGGGGCTGGGGGGCTCCAGGGACCCCGATTCCAGAGGGGACCAGGGGTGGGGACAGCTCCGAAGACAAGGGGCTCCCAGTGGGATCCTGGGGATGGAGGGGGCTGGGGGAATCCCAGGAATGCAGGGTCCCAAACAGGTTCAATGGGGTCACGGTGGGACACTGGGGCTGGGGGGCTCCAGGGACCCCGATTCCAGAGGGGACCAGGGGTGGGGACAGCTCCGAAGACAAGGGGCTCCCAGTGGGATCCTGGGGATGGAGGGGGCTGGGGGAATGCAGGGTCCCAAACAGGGACCAAATAGGGCTGGAGAGAGGGCTGGGGGTCCTTGGGGATGGGGGATCCCAAAAGGGTTCAGGGATGGAGACATTCCCAAGGGCTGGGGGTCCCAGAGATGGGGGATCCCAAAAAAATTCAGGGATGGAGACATTCCCAGGCGCTGGGGGTCCCTGGGGTTGGGGGTCTCTGGGGAGGAGACATTCCCAAGGGCTGGGGGTCCCAGTGGGGTCCCGGAGATGGGGGATCCCAGTAGGGTTCGGGGATGGAGACATTCCCAAGGGCTGGGGGTGCCGGAGGGATCTCAGGGATGGGGGATCCCAAAACAGTTCGGGGATGGAGACATTCCCAGGAGCTGAGGGTCCCAGACATGGGGGATCCCAAAAAGATTCAGGGATGGAGACATTCCCAGGAGCTGGGGGTCCTGGTGGGATCTCGGGGATGGGGGATCCCGAAAGGGATCAGGGATGGAGACATTCCCAAGGGCTGGGGGTCCCGGAGATGGGGGATCCCCAAAAAATTCAGGGATGGAGACATTCCCAAGAGCTGGGGATCCCTGGGAATGGGGGATCCCAGTAGGATTCAGGGATGGGGACATTCCCAAGGGCTGGGGGATCCCAGAAGGGTTTGGTCCCTGGGGATGGGGGATCCCAGAAGGGATCAGGGATGGGGACATTGACATTCCCAAGGGCTGGGGGATCCCAACAGGGATCAGGGATGGAGACATTCCCGGGAGCGGGGGGTCCCGGTGGGATCTCGGGGATGGGGCTCCCGGGGCTGGCGGTGTCCCAGCGGGGCGCAGGGATGGGGACAGCCGCGGGGTGCGGGCGTCCTTCGGGACGGGCTGTCGCGGTGTCCCCGCACTCACCCAGAAGAGCAGGTTGAAGAAGAAGAGCACGTACTTGGCCACCGGGCTCACGAAGGAGAAATCGTCCCCGAGGGGCCCGGCGGGGACGGCCGCCCTCTTCGCCATGGCCGAGCGGGGCCGAGCGGGGCCGAGCGGAGCCGAGCGGAGCCGAACCGGACCGGTCCCCTCTTCGCCCCGCACCGAGCCCCCCCTTCCCGCCCGCTCATTGGCTGGCCCCTCCTCACTCTGCCTTCCCATTGGGCAGCCGCCCCGTCACTCAGCCCCGCGGGTCCCGCCCCCTCGCTGCCGCACCTGTCCGTGATTTAAAGGGCCCGCGCACCCCGTCCCGTCCCGGTCCGTGCGGGGCCAAATCCCGCCCGGGCCGCCCCGAACCCCCCCCAACCGCGCGGCCCGTGCTCCAGAGAACCCGCAGCTTCCAGAGAGTGTGGAGTGTTGTGATTGTGGCCGTAATTAGTGATCTTCACCGCGGGTGGCCGTCCTTGCAGGGACACGGGGACACCGGGAGCTCTCGTCCCCGAGACGTGGCCAGCCCCGGCTGGGGACTCGGGGCTGTGCTGAAGGACGTGAGCGAGCCTCTGACCCGCATTTGCTGAAAACAACCCTGACCCTGTGTCCTCAGTGACCTCTCCAGCCCAGGGGAGGGGGAGCCCAAACCCAAACCCCAAATCCATTCCCCTCTGCTGCCCAAACGGGGACACTGCGGTGGCTCCCGGGACACCAGGGAGCGACAGCTCCCTTCCCCAACAGGATCCAACCCTCAAACTCCATTTTTGGGATGAATTTTGCCCTATTTTTTTTTGCCTGACATTTCCGTTTTCTTGGCTAGCCACCTCGTCCCACCCCACTGCCACCTTGTCCCACCCCACTGCCACCTCGTCCCACCCCACTGCCACCTTGTCCCACCACCCTTTGCTCGGAGGGAGCACCGCCCCACAGCTATAATTTCCCACCCGCGCGGCCCGTGCTCCAGAGAACCCGCAGCTTCGAGACAGTGTGGAGTGTTGTGATTGTGGCCGTAATTAGTGATCTTCACCGCGGGTGGCCGTCCTTGCAGGGACACGGGGACACCGGGAGCTCTCGTCCCCGAGACGTGGCCAGCCCCGGCTGGGGACTCGGGGCTGTGCTGAAGGACGTGAGCGAGCCTCTGACCCGCATTTGCTGAAAACAACCCTGACCCTGTGTCCTCAGTGACCTCTCCAGCCCAGGGGAGGGGGAGCCCAAACCCAAACCCCAAATCCATTCCCCTCTGCTGCCCAAACGGGGACACTGCGGTGGCTCCCGGGACACCAGGGAGCGACAGCTCCCTTCCCCAACAGGATCCAACCCTCAAACTCCATTTTTGGGATGAATTTTGCCCTATTTTTTTTTGCCTGACATTTCAGTTTTCTTGGCTAGTCACCTCGTCCCACCCCACTGCCACCTCGTCCCACCCCACTGCCACCTCGTCCCACCCCACTGCCACCTTGTCCCACCCCACTGCCCCCTCGTCCCCCCCCACTGCCACCTTGTCCCACCCCACTGCCACCTCGTCCCACCCCACTGCCACCTTGTCCCACCCCACTGCCACCTCGTCCCACCCCACTGCCACCTTGTCCCACCACCCTTTGCTCGGAGGGAGCACCGCCCCACAGCTATAATTTAATTTATTGCTATTATTCCGTTTTTTATCATTTCCCTCCTAGGGCTGGGCTGGAAATCCCCGGGAGCAGCTGCTGGCACGGCCCTTTCCGGAGGAACACGAGAGCTTGGGGCAGAGGAACCAAAACCAAGAACCCCTTTGTGCTTTTAGGGCCGCAGAGGAGCCCGTCCCAGCCCCGGCACAGCCGTTGCCTTGGGGTGCTGCTGGGAGCAGCCCCCAAATGGTGGTGGGGTCTGTCAGACACCCCACGGGGTCTGGGGGACTGAACCTCACAGGAGGGGTTCAATAAAGGGATCCAGGGGATGGGATGGGTTCCATGGGATGGGATGGGTTCCATGGGATGGGATCCATGGGATTGGATCCATGGGTTCTATGGGATGGGATCCATGGGCTCTACGGGATGGGATCCATGGGATGGGATCCATGGCTTAGGATCGATCCATAGGATGGGATCCATGGGATCTACGGGATGGGATGGGATGGAATGGATGGGATGGGATCTATGACATGGGATGGGATCCATGGGCTCTACGGGATGGGATCCATGGGCTCTACGGGATGGGATCCATGGGCTCTACGGGATGGGATCCATGGGCTCTACGGGATGGGATCCATGGGCTCTACGGGATGGGATCCATGGGCTCTACGGGATGGGATCCATGGGCTCTACGGGATGGGATCCATGGGCTCTACGGGATGGGATCCATGGGCTCTACGGGATGGGATCCATGGGCTCTACGGGATGGGATCCATGGGCTCTACGGGATGGGATCCATGGCTTAGGATCGACCCATAGGATGGGATCCATGGGATCTACGGGATGGGATGGGATGGGATGGAATGGATGGGATGGGATCTATGACATGGGATGGGATCCATAGGATGGGATCGATAGGATGGGATCCATGGCTTGGGATCGATCAATGGGATGGGATCCCGGGGATGGGATCCCTGGGATGAAGAGGAGGGCACGGGGAGGAGAAGGGAGGCTCTGGTGGCCCCTGAGCCCCAGCAATGGCCACGGGAGGAGGAGGAGGAGGAGAGGAAGGGGAGCAGGAGCCCGAGGAGCCCCGCGGGATCCCAAACATCCCAAATTTCCCTCTCGGCTCCTTTGAACACGGGCGGGACAAGGGGCGTGGTCCTGGGCAGGGGGCGTGGCCTTAGAAAGATAATGACAGTGTATTACCATATATGGAGCGATGGGCGTGTCATGGGGCGGAGCCAACCCTGCCCCGCCCTCCGCCGACAGCGCCGCCCAGCGGCCGTGAGGGAACGAGCGCGCTTGGGGACCCCCGTGACCCCACAGCCTGTCCCTAAATGGAAACACCCCTGACCCCCCAGCCTGTCCCTAAATGGAAACACCCCTGACCTCCCAGCCTGTCCCTAAATGGAAACACCCCTGACCCCACAGCCTGTCCCTAAACAGGGACACCCCTGACCCCACAGCCTGTCCCTGAACAGGGACACTCCTGACCCCACAGCCTGTCCCTGAACGGGGACACCCCTGACCCCACAGCCTGTCCCTAAACAGGGACACCCCTGACCCCACAGCCTGAACGGGGACACCCTGTCAACCCCAGCCCTAAAAGGCCCCCCTGGGTACCCCACAGCCCCCCCAAACCCCCCATGGGTGGAAAGAGGGGTCACCCCGCTCTGGAACAACGCTCTTTATTTGGGGTCTCAGGGTTTGTCCCCCCAGCCATGGCAGCCCGGGGTGTGGGTGTCGCCCTGAGCTGTCCCCTGCCCGTGCCCGGGGGTCCGAGCAGAGCCCCCTGCCCCAAACCCGCCCTGCACCCCCAAACCCGCCCCTCACCCCCAAACCTGCCCCGCACCCCCAAACCCGCCCCGCAGCCCCAGCCCAGCCCCGTGCCCCCCGGGCAGGCGGGGCCGTGTCCTGGCCCCGTGTCACACGCGGACCTGTCCAGCTGGGGTGGCCTCAGGGGTTGGCACTCTTGAGGTCACCCAAGGCCACCTCTTGTCCTTCCCCCACAGCCTCGGCTGCGGGCTCCTGGGCTGGGCCCCGCGCTGAGGGGACAGTGAGTGGGGACACGGGACACGCCCGGCCCCACACGCGGCTGTCCCCATCCCTGTCCCTGTTCTTGTCCCGTCACCATCTGCTCCCATGTCCTCATCCCTGCCTTGTCTTCATCCCTGCCGAAACACCCCAAACACCCCCTCTGTGCCCCCCAGCACCCCTCCGTGCCCAGGCCCACCTGCGCGCCCCCAGCAGTGGCTCTGGCAGCGGGCACACACCATGACCCCGATGGCCACCGCGGTGAAGGCGGCCGTGAGGACACACACCACCAGCAGCATGTCCGGCTCCGCGGCCTTGGGGACCTCTGCGGGGTGGCACCGGCACGTGGGGACACCAGCCGGGCCACCCCCTGCTCCCCGTGCCGTGCCAGGCCGGGGCAACCCCAAACTGCCCCGGGGGAGCAGCCGGGGACACACGGACACAGCAGGGACAGGGGACGGACACTGCAGGGACAGGGGACACGTCAGGGCATGTGGGGACCCCAAACAGGGCAGGGGCACAGGGCAGGGACACCTGGCACTGACAAGGTGGGACAAGGGACAGACACCTTGTGGGGACCCCAAACAGGGCTGGGGCACCTGGCATCACCGAGATGGGGACAGAGCTGTGGGAGGTGACAGATGTGTCAGGGAACTGGGGACACCCCCAAATTCTGTCACCATCCAGATGAGGACAGGGCTGGAGGAAGGGACAGATGTGTCAGGGAATTAGGGACACCCCCAAATTGGGGTGAAGAGTGTGGGGTACCACCCAGACGGGGACAGGGATGGACCAGGGGACAAGGCAGGTGACAGATACAGCAGTGAATGGGGACAACCCCAAAATGTGGCACCACCCAGATGGGGACAGGACTGGACACAGCAGGGAACTGGGGACACCCCCAAATTCTGGCAGCACCCACATAGAGACAGGACTGGACACACAGGTGACAGACACACCAGGAAATGGGGACACCCCCAAATTCTGCCACCACCCACATGGGGACAGGACTGGACACAGCAGAAAACTGGGGACACCCCCAAATTCTGGCACAAGCCGGATGGGGACAGGACTGGATACAGCAGGGGACTGGGGAAACTCCCAAATTCTTGATGAGGACAGAGGACAAACACACCAGGGAAGTGGGGACACCCCCAAATTCTGGCACCATCCAGATGGGGACAGGGCTGGACCGGGGGACAACACGGTGGCAGACACACCAGGAAATGGGGACAACGCCAAAATGTGGCACCACCCAGATGGGGACAGGACTGGATACAGCAGGGGAATGGGGAAACCCCCAAATTCTGGATGAGGACAGAGGACAAACACACCAGGGGACTGGGGACACCCCCAAATTCTGGATGGGGACAGAGGACAAACACAGCAGGGAACTGGGGACACCCCCAAATTCTGGATGGGGACAGAGGACAAACACAGCAGGGAACTGGGGACACCCCCAAATTCTGGCAGCACCCAAATGGGGACAGGGATGACCAGGGGACAACACAGGTGACAGACACACCAGGAAATGGGGACACCCCCAAATTCTGGCAGCGCCCAGACGGGGCCAGCGCTGGACACAGCAGGGAAGCGAGGGACCCCAGGGGGGACAGTGCCACCCGCGCCGCTCACCTGTCCCCGCGGGCTGCAGCAGCAGGGAGCAGAGCAGCTGCGGGGCCGCGGCGCGGGTGGCGTAGCACGAGTAATTCCCGAAATCGGGACGGCTGAGGTTCCTGAGCAGCAGCGACACGCCGCTGTCCCCTGTCCCCGCGGCGCAGAAGGCCACCCTGCCCCTGAAGCGGCTGTCGGGCTGCACGGGCGGCTGCCAGCCCGGCCCGGGCGGCTGCCAGCCCAGGCGGTGGCTGAGCACGGGGACAGCGTGGTGGCCGCCGGCCTGCTGGCTGCAGCTGAGGGTGACGCCGCGCAGGTCGCCCCAGGGCTGCGAGCCGCAGGGCAGGCAGGCGTCCTCGCCGATGGCCGCGGTCACCGTGACGGTGACGGGCTGCTCTGCGAGGGGACACGGCGGGGTCACCGCGCGGGGACACCAGGGATGGGGTACGGCGGGTGGAGGGGTCACCTGGGGCAAGGGGGCTCTGAAGGGACAGGGGACATCTGTGGGGACACGGCGGGTGGCGCCAGGACCGAGGGCTTGGAGGTGCCAGGACCTGGGGCTCGGGGATGCCAGGACCAGGAGTTTGGGGATGCTGGCACCGAGGGCTTGGAGGTGCCAGCACCGGGGACTCGGGGGTGCCAGGACCCGGTGCCAGCACCGAGGGCTCGGGGGTGCCAGGACCAGGAGTTTGGGGATGCTGGCACCGAGGGCTTGGAGGTGCCATGTCCCGGTGCCAGGACCGGGTGTTCGGGGGTGCCAGGTCCTGGTGCTGGCACCGAGGGCTCGGGAGTGCCAGGACCAGGTGTTCGGGGGTGCCAGGTCCCGGTGCCGGCACCGAGGGCTCGGGGGTGCCAGGACCGGTGCCAGGACCTAGGGCTCGCTGGTGCCATGTCCCGGTGCCAGCACCGAGGGCTCGCTGGTGCCATGTCCCGGTGCCAGGACCGAGGGCTCGGGGGTGCCAGCACCGAGGGCTCGCTGGTGCCATGTCCCGGTGCCAGGACCGAGGGCTCGCTGGTGCCAGGTCCCAGGACCGAGGGCTCGGGGGTGCCAGCACCGAGGGCTCGCTGGTGCCAGGTCGCGGTGCCAGCAGCGAGGGCTCGCCGGTGCCAAGCAGCCGCCCCGTGAGTCACCGCCCTGCCGGGAACGGCTCCCCCGCCCTCCCCTCGGGGCTCCCACCGCGCAGGGGAGGAAAGCGGGGGTTGGGAAGGGGGTCCCCGGGGGGCGGGGGGCTCTGCCCGGACCCCCCCACCCCGCTGCCCGTGGGTACCTGCCCGGGCGAGGAGGGGGCACAGAGCCAGGAGCGCCACGACGGGGAGCAGCGCCATCCTGCCGGCACCCGGGGCCGGGCAGCTCCTGGGGGCCGCGGGCACCGCAGCCTCAGCAGCCGGGCACCCCAAAACCCCGGGGGCACCCCCAACACCGCCCCGCATGGCGAGGGAGGCACCCCGGGGGTACCCAACCCCCCAGACCCGCTGTGAGCAAGGGGGGCGTTAGGGGCTGGGCAGGTATAGGGCAGGGGGCCGGGGATTTTGGGGTGGGGTTTGTGGGGCAGGGGGCCGGGGATTTTGG